GCCTGGTTTCAGGACTGGTACGTACGCTAGCAACAGAATCTGAAGATTATCGGCTCGTAAGCATCAGTCTCAATCCGGCAAATGGACTGGACGCAGCCGCTACAAATATTATGACGATTACCAAGACACTGTTAGATCCACAGCCAGACCCGGAGGACGAATACTGCGAAATTGACGGCCAGCTCTGTATTCCACGTGTGGTCGACGACCCAGAACTCACTGCTCAAGCACTGCCTACCGAGGATACTTTAGTCACTGTCACCAAGCCTTGGAGCGAGCTTGACAGCCCCCAGTTGACCATTGGCGCGGTAGGAATCCTGAGTACACTGCATTATGAGCAGGCTTCCAACAACATTGGGGAGCTGGAGCCGGATGATGTCGTTGTTGAAATCAAGGCAGTTGGTCTCAACATGCGGGACGTCTCGGTAGCACTTGGCCAGGTTCATGATGAGACCTTCGGAAGCGAGATCGCCGGAGTCGTGGTACGCACCGGCTCATCACACGATGGGGGCTTCCAGGTCGGTGACCACGTTTTCGGCGTAACACGAGATGGCATTGCGCAAATTGCCTGCTGTAAATTCTCACAACTGCACAAGATGGCGGGCGGTATGAGCTTCTGCGATGCCGCCGTCTATCCAGTTGCATTTTGCACAGCCTACTACGGCTTGAAGCAGTGTGTCGGTATACAGGGTGGCGAGTCCATCTTGGTTCACGAGGCTGCTAGTACTCTCGGCCAAGCGATTCTCCAAATCGCCGTTCTCCACGGATACACGAAAATCTTCGCGACTACAAGCACACCTGAAGAAGCGGCTTTCCTGGAGAAGAACTTCAACGTTCCGACATTGAACGTGTTCCGCACTGGCCGCCTCGACTTCCAACATGGTATCCTCCGTTTGACAGGAGGACGAGGTGTCGATGTTGTGATGGGCTCTGAAGAACTCTTGCAAGATTCTTGGCCATGTATCGCTTCGTTCGGACGCTTCGTTGGCGTTGGAGAAAAGGACGTCTTCAGTTCCACCGCGAATGGCTCAAATAAGATTTCGGTACCTCCTACATCGAAGAACATTACTTTCGTAAGCGTCAACTTCCAGGATCTAGCACAGAGCCATCTATTTGCTGGCATCTTCAAAGATGTACTATCACTGATTGAAGGTGGTAAGATCACTATGTCTCTACCTCCGACCGTGTTCAAGCAGAGTAGGGTTCAGGAGGCTTTCCAGTCGCTCAAAGATGGAGAGACGCTTGGAAAAGTAGTCATCGAGATGGACGGCGACGACGTTGTTGAGGTGGAACTTTCCCCAGATTCTGACCAGCCATTATTCCTCTCGGATGCCAGCTATCTTGTCGCTGGCGCATTCGGCGGTATCGGCCAGAGCATTGCTACGTGGATGGTACACAATGGAGCCAAGCATCTAATCTTGCCGTCACGATCAGCAGTCGAGGGCACTGGATCTGAGCGCGATTACTTCATGCAAGGACTGATGGCACAAGGCGCCGCAGTGTATGCTCCAGTATGCGACGTCGCCGACTATGATCAGCTCAAGGAGACCCTTGCGTCCCTCGAAGCTCTTCCGCAAATCAAAGGATGTGTCCAAGCAGCAATGGTGATGCGCGACTCTTCCTTCGCAAAGATGTCGAGCGAGAAGTGGCACGAGTCACTCGCGCCCAAGGTAGACGGCTCTTGGAACCTACACCAGCTTCTACCTGCCGATCTCGACTTCTTCGTCATGTTGTCATCTTCCACCGGCATCATGGGCTCGTTTGGTCAATCAAATTACACCGTTGGCAACACATATCAGGACGAACTAGCGGCCCATCGCATGCGTCACGGCCAACGTGCTCACACCCTCGCTCTGAGCATGGTCACCGGCGTTGGCTACGTCGCTCAGAACGAGCAAGTACAAGCTTTGCTCCGCGTGCGGGGCATGCTGGAGGAGGTGCCCATGAGTGACATCTACAAGCTGCTACGCTTCGTCTGTGACCCCGAGCGCGTCGATGCAAGCACCGTCGGGTCCCAGATCATCACACCCTTGACCCTGCCGGCTGATCTCCGTGCCATGGGTATTGTGGCACCTCTCGGTAGCACGCGACCGTTGTACCACTATCTCGACACGCTCCCTTCGCGCTTCTCTTCCGACACCGCGACCGCCGAAGCCAAGAATCGCCCTTCGTACAAGCTCTCAGAGGCCACGAACCTCGCTCAAGCCACCGATATCGTTGTCGACGCGATCCAGAACCAGCTTTCCAGTCTCTTGGTTGTCAGCAAGGACGACATCGATCCTCAGAAGGCGATCTATCGGTACGGCGTGGACTCGTTGGTCGCGGTGGAGATGCGGAACTGGTTTTCGAAGGCTATCGGAGCGGACGTTGGGACTGTGGATATCATGAGTGATATCAGTATCTGGCTGTTGGCCGTCAAGGTCGCGGGGAAGAGTAAGTTCGTCAAGGAAGAGGTGAAGGAGTAGACTGCCACAGCGAAGATGGGAGTGCGGCTTGACCTAGACCGGGGCTTGGCCTCGCGCTGGTCAGTGAAGTGAATTGCGTGATTACATACATACATCTATTTCAATGTATTGTCTTGTCAGCTTCTAGGTGTCATTGCGGAATCCACCAAAACATGCTGATGACGCAGGTGATCGTTGTGAACGAACCTTGGAAGTGACGCGACGCGACGCGACATGACGCGTGCGGGCTTGCTGCTGACTCATCCGCACTAGAGCTCGGCAATCCGGTGACACTCGTTGGAGCACTCAACATCACCCAAGCAGTCACTCCTCTGACGTCCTATGGCCATGATATCGGACGGCAAGAAACAGCGAATACCCCGAAAAGCGCATCTTTCAAAATCGCTTACCACTCTGGCAACTCCTGGGCAGCAATCACCTACATCAGTCACGTATCAGCATCGTCATCACGGCAGTCGCTTCAGGGCTATCAGTAAGCGGTAGAAGTATAAGAATACATGAAATCCAGGCCATTGGGTCGTCTTCTTCCCCCTGTCGCCATCTCACTTCTTTACCAACAACCCTTTAATATCCGTTTCCAGATCCTCTTTACAAGTGCAGCTGCTTTCGTCATGATACACATCTTCAGGTCTCGCGACCGGGCATCCATCCGCCTCGATCTCAAAGGTGATATCTTCAGGAGTAAGACTCAGCACGTTCTCCGTCAGAATCCTCTCCCATTCTACCAGCATGTCCCCCGTAATACGTGCGTCCATCCAGATTCGGGATCCATCCATCGTGGTACGCCAATACCCACGCGCATCAAGGACGATGCGTAAAGTCTTCAGCTTGGGGATGTTCTGCTGCCAACTCCTTGGTATCTGGTTTGCCGGCTGCCAGAGGAGACCTAAGCCTCCGTAATCATTACGAGAAACTGACTGGAACCGGAACTCTAAGTGGCGGATTTCGCTCCCGACACGTAGCGATGGTCGATGTCCGTAATGTAGCGTATAGTCTGTGACCTGGAAGATGTTGTTATTGTAATATGCGGCTTTTGCTATGGCCGCGAAATCTGTACGGAGTAGGGGAAGGAGGCGTAACTTCATCAGGGCCCAGTGTTTTGTGTAAGTAATTGGAGTTGGGAAGGTTAGGTGCTGCTCCAGAACCATCATTTTTAGCTCTGCTGGAAGCTTAAGCCAGTAGTGGAAGAAGATTGAGTCTTCCGAGTCGGCCTGCACTAGTGGGTTTGCGGAACCCGTGGTTGTAATGACTTGATCGGGCATTGTTGTTGTGGAGTAGAATCGGTGAGGTAAGCTTGGTGAGTTGGGAAAGGAACGATTGATATGCTGGTGGATGACATGGTCTATACGGCTACATGGAGGGTGTTTTTACATAGTCGCTGGCCAAGCTGGTAGTAGTGAACCGCATTGTAGGTGGAGGTGAAAGAAACCTCACATCACTTGTTACGTGGGATTTGCACGCGCGCCACACGATCCTTATTGCTACCTGGCTGCTCACATTCAGACCATTTCAATGTGTTTGTGAATGGCAAATGCTCGGAGTTAACAAACAATAATCCATTCACTCGAGTTCTTAATAGCTGTCTTATCTTGCGAACCCTCGAGACCTTTACATGTATGGCGACCGCTACCGCACCCCAGGAGACAGCGTCGTTCCATCCATGGTCAGACTTACCTACCGAACTTCAACTAAAAGTCCTCGGTCACGCCCTTACCTTTCCCGAGCCCATCGATAAGGACACCACTTACCAAGCGGTGAGCTTGTTGATACCAGTTTTGCGCTGTGGCAACACAGACCTGACCTCGCTCGCCGGAGAAAGCTGTAAGTGAAACCGGGGTCTGGTCAACTAGGCCCTGCACATCTAAATTGACGACTGACAGAGGCAGACTACAAAAGCAACAAATTCGTCAGCAGAACCCCTTTCTTCTTGACGTCCTTCCCTAGATTTCCGCCACTTGATGCGTGTAAGTGGATCCGGAGATTCGAAGTCACTTTCAATCTGTATACATCGCGACCCAATGACCACAGCCTCGATATGGATACAGCTTGGAGAGTTCTCGTTGCGTCCGCTCAAATGGCACCAGGCCAACATATCACGCATGAAGGTGCTGTCTTACAAGCAGTTCGACGCTCTACCAACTGGCAAACGCATTTCCCTAATCTCCACACATTCTATCTAAACCTCAAGATTCGCACCGATCCCACAGACCTTGTGAGGTACTATTTGTCACGTGGAAAACCATCGCCGCCTACCTTCCGGTGCATTCATGACTTCAAAGACGCTGTGCTTGACGCCTTGCAATACTGCGAACATCATATGCAAGCGAAAGAGGTCGCAGTACGGGTGTATTGCGAGGGCTGCAGAAACGTTGGACTGTCTCAAACTCAGCCGGCTCGGGTCACAGAGTATCAGATATCAGCACCGCCATGCACGTGTGAGCATGAGTTGGAAGAAGGACTGGCCAAGGTATCTGGAAGAGACTAGGAATTTGCTAAGAACGATGAATTATGGAGGAGATGGACAAGACTTGTGATCTAGACGTCCGCTATGTTGGCGGGAAAGCTGTAAACCGGGGGACGCATTCAGGTGGTACATTGATACCCGTACCACAGCATGACGCATATGGATCAACTATACAGATAAGTTAGTAATGCACGTCTCCCGCCATTCGAGAAGAGGAAAGAATGGCATACCTGATTCCCTAGTGCTGCTCGCTGACATCAACGCGCACTTGTACGAAGCCGACTTGCCGATAACATGTCCTTCCCATTCACCCGTCATAACCAATCCGTCGATGTGACTTTTGAAGTATCTTAGATGCGGACATAACCCTAGTATTTCTTCAATCCGATGAGACTGCCACGGCATGACCATACCACATCTAGATTCGATCTGGAGAGAGCGGAGTTGAGGTCCAACGGTCTCACAAACCCTCGTGGTTGCTTTCTCAAAACTACCAATATACACGTTCGAAGTACTTCCAGAAACCAGCTTCAGATCTGTCAACAGTGGCACAGTCTCCAGGAAACTTTGGAGAGTAGTGTAGTCGATGGAGGACGGGTTCAAACTTAGCGTGTGTAGCTTGGGTACTAGACCAGCGATCTCTAGTAGTAGGTGTTCAGAATTAGTGGATGCCACATCCAAGATGCGCATCTCACTCCAGTCCATGGCGTAGGCCCAATCGCTGCAGTGCTTAGGGCTAAGCTCGTAGGCAGGCGCAAGGTCATCAGCTTTGGAGATGACCAGCTCTTCGAGAGTGGGGAACGTATCCGTTTCCTGGAATCGGAAATGAGATCCGCCAACGGCCATAGCCGTGTAGCTGTTGCGTTGACTTCTCGCAGCCATGGTAAAGTGTTGCTGTTTGCTGAGACGCAATCGTAGAACCTTGAGGTTGCGGCCCCGCATGAGTAGTGTCTTGAGCTTGGAGAGATCGCTGTTTTCGTCCTGCAGACGTGTTGCTCCCCGATGGAAGCACCGGACTGTAATGTCGAGTGTGTGGAGCTGAGGTGATGACAGGAGAGCTTCATCTAGAGCAAAATCCTTGCGGTTGTGGTTCTTGACTTTTAACTGAGCTGAAGGATGATCGCCGTGCAGCGCCTCGAGAACACGCAAGGGGATAGCGTAGTTGGCGTTCCAACTAAATGATGAAAGGTTTGGTATGCATCCTATAATGTGTAGAATCGTCGCAGGGGAGATGTAGCTACGGTCGGGATAAGATGGGATGACCAAGTGACGCACCGTCTTCGCCAATCTACCATTGTTCCGTTTTAGACTGCTCACGATACTTGTGGGGGAACCGGGTCCGCTTTTCTTGGGTCTGCCCGACGTGATAGTACGCAAAGGCCATCCTAGGCCATTGGTGATGCGTGCAGTCATAGTTGAGCCTCGCTCTTTGCAAGCACCCACGGTGATAGTGCGGAAGATAATTGGCTCGCATTGATTGCGACATGTATGCGAAACAAGACTGAGCGAGATCTGGTCTGCCAGTGAGAGCTAGACAAATGTTAACGTAAGTCAGAGTGTTTGCACTGGTGAGGCGCACATGATCAAGAAGAAGGCGATATATGTCTATTGGTAAATCGGGTAGCTTCATCTTTCGTTTGTTGATTACTGGCGAGTCGGAACGTAGAAAGGCGAGTACGATACGCGATATTTGGTAGCGACGTGCAGAGAAGACGCACAAATAATCCAAAGTATCAATGAACGAGCTTACGTGCATGCCTTTCGTCTTTATGATGATAATGCCGCGAGGCTGTGATCGCATCGCATATTGTGGCGCCGTGGCTGGGGTGGCAGGCAGACACTGAGGGGCGAGCTGCGCCACGCTGTGTGCCTGAGTTCAGGATATGTCTCAGGCGACCACGCGCGCCTTGTCGAAGCGACGCAATCGAGAAATTGAGATAGCCACTTACATCACGTAACAACAGAAGTATTGCGCATGATGCGAGCGGGATAGTGTTCGATGGTTACCTTTTGTATGGCGAATTATCGTGCTATTGCAATAGTGTTTCCTGCTCTTCCTTTGAAATACCGAAGAGATACAGTACATCCAGCATGCTCTTTGAGTTGAGGCGAGCAGGAGCTTGCATCTGCACCTTTGGCTTCGCGTGGAAGGCAACGCCCAGACCGGCTACGCCCATCATAGGAAGATCGTTGGCGCCGTCGCCGACGCATATTACCTGATCAAGGAGTATATTCTCCTTCTCGGCAATTTCTAGGACGTGTTGGCGTTTCTTCTGGGCGTGCACAATCTCACCGGTCAGTTCGCCTGTGAGTGTGGCTCCGTCTTCGGAGACGACCAGGTGGTTAGCAAAGGCGTAGTCAAGACCAAGTTGCTGTCCCATCCATCCTGTTAGGGGGGTGAAACCTCCGCTAAGTACTGCTGTCTTGAAGCCCAATCGCTTCAGGGCAGTGATGAGATCCTTGACACCCTCATTCAATGTTATCCTCGGCTTCAGCGTCTCGAATACACTGCTTGGCACGCCCTTGAGCAGTTTGCATCGCGCGCGTAGGCTAGCCTCAAAGTCGAGCTCACCGTTCATGGCAGCAGCGGTAATGGCAGATACCTCCTTCTCAACGCCTATCAGCGAAGCGATCTCGTCAATGACCTCTTGCTGTATAAGGGTGCTGTCCATGTCGAACACAGCAAGCCTCTTGTAGCGCCGATGTATGGTGTCTGCCTGGAAGACGCACTCGACGTTCCACTCGCGCTCGAAGCGCGACACAGCTTCATGCCTGCGCAACGTCTCAAGCGCGACGGGCGAGGCGCTTGGCAAGGGAAACGTGACTTCGACCACCCTACAGAGCTTGCTTGCCTCGAGCCTTTTGCTCGTTATGGTGTTTTGCTCCAAGCCAGTTATGATGCTGGTAAGGGTGACGAAGAACTCGGTGAGGCAGCTTTGGCTGACGTAGCTTCCGTAGAGATTGTCGCGGGCGTTGGGCCCAGGTGTGGGCGGTTCGAGGGGGTAGTCTGCGAGGTTCTCGGTGGGGACGGCGCCGTCCTTCAGCGACTCGAGGGAAGCGGAGGGAATTGGGTCGCCGGGACTTCGGGTCGACAGATCGGCATGCTGGAAGAAGTTGGGCGTGTCGGCCTTGTAGAAGAGCGTCGCGACGATGTGCGTGGCCGAGACGTCGAGGGCGGGAGGTTTGGCCGCCATGATACGATGTATCGGGAATAGCTTGGGCGCGATACTTTCGGACCTTTAGTACCCAGGTGGTCAGAGGAGAGGACGTGGACGAGGAGCTGCTGCTGTATGACTTGTTTGCAAGGCGGGGATGCTTGCGACTGGAAATTTCGGCAGGGGTTCAGGCACAACAGCGCTAGCCTGGCACCCCACCAGCTCGTGTGTGGACTCTCAAGACACCATGTCTGACGTCTGATCGACCTCGCATTCGCGTGTGCACTTCTCGGTCGTACTTCTCCCCTTAGTTGCAGACTACGGATAGTGCAACAAGCTCACCACTGGGGCGGCCTATCATGGCCGCGGGCTCCCACTCGACTAGGTGGATGGGCGACCCTTCGCTCGCGAGCCGAGGCTGCGCTCCTTAGTGCGCCAGGTGAGAGCAGCTGCACCTCCACGGGCGTACACGCGGGTACCTCACGATATAAGAGCCTAACCCCAGCCTCACCCTGATAGTACCCCATAGTACTTGTTCAATCACCTTTACACTGCGAGAACCACTGCAATGGACAACTACAAACCTCAGAAACCGAACGTCCTCCAGTCGCCGCCTATCGACATCACCGTTCCCTACGATGCTGCCTGGGTGAAGGGCAAGGTCGTACTCATCACGGGAGGAGCGAGTGGCTTTGGCGCGGGCTTCGTGCGGAAATGGGTAGTTGATGGTGCTACAGTCGTCGTGGGGGACATCAGTGTCCAGAAGGGAGACGCGCTCTGTCGTGATATCAACAAAGACAGCAAGAACGGCGGCAAGGCCCACTTCGTGCACTGCGACGTGACGGACTGGCAGTCGCAGGTCGACCTCTTCAAGAAGGCAGTCGAGCTCAGCCCTCACGGTGGTATCGACACGGTAGTCGCAAATGCAGGCATAGCAGGTCGTGACGTCCTCCAAGAACCTGCAAACCTCGATGCGGCTGCACCACCCCCACCCGTCTTCAAGATCATGGACGTGAACCTCACCGGTGTGCTATACACCACTCACCTAGCCTGCTTCTGGCTGCCCAAGAACCCCGGCTCCAAAGACTGCAGCTTGAACTCGAAGCCTTCCACGACCTCCCCACGCGATCGCCATATCCTTCTGCTTGGCTCCATCGCCTCTCTCGGTCCTATTGCCATACAACCCCAATATTGTGCCGCAAAGCACGCAGTCCTTGGTCTGTTTAGAAGTCTGAGGGTGACGAGCGGCCTTCAAGGCATCCGCGTGAACCTTCTTTGTCCATACTTCATCGATACACCTATCGTGCCCGCTAGTGCGCGCTTCATACTCGCAGGAGGCGGCGTAGGCAAAGTGGAAGATGTCGTCGACGCAGGTACGCGCTTTGTGGCTGATTCCCGCATACTTGGTCGCGCGCTGGTTATAGGGCCCAAGATGCATGTTCGTCAAAAGGACAATGGCGAGTGGGATCTGGTTACGCCCGGCACCCCTGGCAGTATCGAAACGGCCATCTTCGAGCCTTATGCCGATGATTGGGAGGACCAAGATCAGTGGAACCGCACCTTCATCAAGATCTTGAACATGGTCCAGGCTGGACGGGGCTGGGCTGGGTGGGCGCAGGATGTTGTCAAAGCATCCTTGTACAGTCTGGGGTTCGGGCGATGATGCGCATCATTGTGAAGCTTGGCGGGCTTGCGGCTCTTCCCCCGGGCACGGTGCGAACTGCGATTGAGCTAGAAGCTCGGGGTCTTCCAATAAAGCTTCCATACTGGAATAATCGACTTTTTCTTACCCGTGCTGCCATGACCACATTCTTCTGTGAGAAATGCACCCTAACGCGCTGGCCCACTGCGGCGGCTCTTACAAGCATCATCTGACCCTACATCAACGCGGTCACCATCATGCACTAGAAGCGGCAACGACCTAGCTAAATCTGCTCGAACTCTTCCAAAAGCATCTGCGGATCGACAGCCGGCTGCTGCTAGAGGCCGACCATAGCGCATTCGGAGAGTATGCAGAGCAGCCCGGATAGGTCGGGACGCTACACGCTTAGGGCTGCATCATAGGGTCACGATCGCTGTGCTGTATTGGCTTCATGCATCGCACTTGAACACATGCCGAATCATCCATACCATCTCAGCAGTGGCGCCACGTCTACACATGCTACGTTTCTTGATAGCATCTGCTGTCCAGTGCTATACGAGCGGCACGCACATTGGCCGGGGAGATTGCCATGTTTCAAGACATGGGATTGTAATCCCTGTCGCGCAACCTCGGCAAAAAAAGAGTCGCCCAAGAACGCCCAGCAGGCACAATTTCAAGACCATCGAATTAACCCGACCAAGTTAACTCCCGCATTGGCGCCTTCCGTTAGATCCACACTGCAAATGTTTGGACGTGATGTCATGCCGCCTGTTCCTGCTGGTGCTGCTGTCCACCGAGTGGCCTGGATCGGCCGCTACGACCATCCCACGCCATCCGCACGTGTGTATATTCACCTTTTTGCGCGCCCGTTGTCCGGATCCAGGCGACTATACGAAAAGCTTTGTTGGCGCATGCAGGTGAAGCCGGGTGTCGCGCGTCCCTTCAGGCTTAGACTTCGCTCTTTCTGCGCTGTCACCATCATCGCGCCGTCACTACCGGCAACGCGGAACCGTCACTGACCCAGATCTTCCGACCCACCAAGACGCCAAACCTCTTCGCACAGCTCACTATGGCGAACCCTACGCCTAGTCCCAAGCGCGAGGGTCTCGTCTCGCCCATCGGCATGGTCATCGAAGAGCCGACCTTTCCGAATATCCCTGGCCAAGAGCCCACCACGCCCACGCCCGTCCAGAACACTTCGACCGCAGACATGGCTCACCCAGCAGGCGTAACGTCGCCAGACCAGCCCATCGACGCCCCACGAGACACATCGGAGTCTGCCCCCAATGATCAGGGTTACTTCGCGTCGACGACGCGTCCCACCCAGCAGAGATGGGCAACGGAACGGCCGAAGCCCTCTGTGCGACACTCTCTGCTAGGAAGGATGCAGAAACCGCGCCAGGCAAGACCAGCCGCACCCGAGAGAGCAGCAACAATCACTTTCGACCCCGAATCCGAATCCTCAGACTCCTCAGACGATGAGAGAGAACTCCCGCGCAAGAGCCTCGGCCATGCGGACGACCTCACAAAGCAAGCAACGCGCGAGCCTCGCGGACGTCGATCGGGGCCCTTTTCTCGTCTCAAGATCGCCAATGAGCATTTCAATACAAAGGGCAGGGTATCCAAGGCGGACGGACGTCTGAAGCTTAGTATACTGGAGGAGAACCTTGGCAGTGGATACATCGCAAAGGCTCTGGGCACAGCTTTCAAGAAGAACGGCAACGACGAGAACCAAGGCCCTACGAGTTACGACGATGCTGGAGCTACCAAGATTAGCCCCGAGGATGACGAGATGGAACATGATCCTTCACGAAGGATTAGGCTCAACATTGTTATCATCATCATTGGTTCGCGGGGAGACATTCAGCCCTTCATCCGGATAGGAAAGATTCTGAAAGAAGACTACGGACATCGCGTTCGCATGGCCACACACCCGGCTTTCAAGGACTTTGTGGAAAAGGACTCGGGCTTGGAGTTTTTCTCTGTTGGTGGCAACCCGGCAGAGCTGATGGCGTTCATGGTCAAGAATCCTGGACTCATACCGAACATCGACACCATCAAGGAGGGTGAGATAGGGAGGCGAAGGAGCCAGATGTACGAGATGTTCCAGGGCATGTGGCGTGCTTGCATCAACGCAACCGACGACGAGACCGACAAGACGAACGTGAAAATGAGTAAGTTTTGCAGCTGCTTTGTGCTCTATATGACTGACCTTTGGTAGTGGGTGATAAGGCACCTTTCGTTGCAGACGCCATCATTTCAAATCCGCCAAGTTTCGCACCCACTCATATCGCTGAGAAGCTTGGTATCCCGTTACACATGATGTTCACGTAGGTAATCAGCATATAGACTCTCGAGTCAGCACTAACACACCACAGCTTCCCTTATACGCCTACGAGCCAGTTTCCTCACCCACTTGCGAACATCAAGGCCAGTAATGTCGAAGCCACCTACAGCAATTTCATGTCGTATCCGCTCGTTGAGATGATGATGTGGCAGGGTCTCGGCGACCTTATAAATCGATTCCGTACCCAGGTCCTGCATCTTGAGGAAGTAAGCAGAATATGGGCACCAGGGCAACTCTATCGACTCAAGGTACCTTACACCTACATGTGGTCACCCGGTCTCATCCCAAAACCAAAGGATTGGGGCCCAGAGATCGACATTTCAGGTTTCGTCTTTCTAGACCTTGCTTCCTCATTTACGCCACCGGATGAGTTGCAGAAGTTCCTGGATGATGGGCCTCCCCCAATCTACATCGGGTTTGGCTCTATTGTTGTAGATGACCCAGACCAATTCACTAGTCTGATCTTCGAAGCAGTCAAGTCCGTTGGCTGCCGTGCCCTTGTTTCTAAGGGCTGGGGTGGCTTTGGCTCCAACGCAGACTGCCCGGAAAATGTCTTCATGCTTGAGAACACACCGCACGATTGGTTATTTCCCAAGTGCAGTGCGGTTATCCATCATGGAGGCGCTGGTACAACCGCTATTGGCCTCAAATGCGCCATACCAACAATGATCGTACCCTTCTTCGGCGATCAGCCATTCTGGGGTGCGATGGTTAGTAAGGCAAAAGCTGGAGCACACGATTGTATACCCTACAAGAAGCTCAGCGCAGAAAGACTAGCGGAGGGTATCAAGCAATGTCTGACTGAAGAAGCCAAAGAGAACGTGAAGAAGATCGCAGACAGCATTGCCAAGGAAGGCGATGGAGCGCTCAACGCTGTGCGCTCCTTCCACCGGTCATTGCCGCTTACCGGCGCAGGCAGCATGCGCTGCGATTTCCTGGACAACCGTGCGGCAGTATGGAAGATCAAAAACACAGAGGTCAAGCTCTCCGCACTCGCCGCCGAGATCCTGGTAGAGAAAAAGAAGCTCAAGTGGAGCGAGTTGCGACTCATACGACACTATGAGTGGAACGACTTTGGTGGCCCAGGCGAACCTATCACTGGTGTCTGGGGCAGTCTGATGTCGTCATTCTCTGATGCGGCTGCCGGTGTAGGAGGCATGCCTGTCGAGATGGGGAAAAGCATCAGGAAACGGGAGCAAATCAAGGAAAAGAAGCGCAAGCACCATCAACGCCACGAGCACAAGAAGGCAACACTAGCAAAAGCAAACGCCGAAAGTGCAAATGCAGGTCAAAATACGAACAAGAGCGAACAAGACGGTTCTCGACCACAAGCAAATCGTAACGAATCATCCATTTCGAAGATCACGGAACCGGACGAAGAGCTGGCTGAGGAGCTCGGCCGCGAAGCTGCCTTTGGCTTCAGGAAGACAGGCCATGCCATCGCTCGATTTCCTATGGACTTGACGCTTGCCATTACTCAAGGCTTTCATAACGCTCCACGTCTCTACGGAGATGAAACCGTACGCAGACCACCCCGAGTCACTGGTTTCCACTCGGGCACGCGCGCCGGTCGCGACGAGTTTCTTTACGGTGTAAGAGATGGCGTTTCAGGCCTTGTCACCCAGCCCTACAATGGCGCGAAACAGAACGGTGTTATAGGCGCAGTCCGAGGCGTGGGCTTCGGTATTGGCGGCTTCGTGCTCAAGGACATCGCAGCTCTTCTTGGCCCTCTGGCATATACGATGAAGGGGCTTGACGCGGAATACATGAAGCGGTACCAGCCCACGAACTATCTCCGCCGTGCTCGTATAGCTGAGGGGCAGAAAGAGCTGACGATGTTGGAGTCGAAAGCTCATATTACGGCAATCAAGGAAGCTCAAAACGGAGCCAAGCGACCTTCCGAGAAGAAGGAATCCGTGGAAGAGAATGTAGTTATCCGATGGAAGGCTCTGCAGAAAACGATCGCAGACGAGAAGAAACAACACAAGAGTGGAATCGTCGGCTCCCTCACCGGTCGAGGGGATCACAAAGAAGGCCAACGAGTTGGACGCAAGTCCACTGAGGTCGCCAAGAAGGATGCTAGGCGATCGCAGTCCAAAGGAAGGCCGAATACCCATGCGCCCAACGACAAGCCCGGTCAACTCCTTCCAGAAGATCAATCCAAGGTGATGGACCCCGGAAAAGCGCGAAGAAGCGTTGACGGCAACGCAAGGGGCGGAGGAATGCACCGGATGAGCACTGCGCCAACCACCACTTTGGAGCATGGCGAACATCTTGAAAGAGAGGAGTTGAAGCTGCCTCCAAGATATCAGGCGACCGGCGACGCTGCGTTGAAGGAGCACGACACAAACCCGCTTGGCTCAGCACATCTAGGTGACGATGCAAAGAACAAGTCTGATCCTGAGCTTGCTAGCCCTATCACTGAGGCTAACAACTTGGGACCTGTAGATACGAAGGGCGGGTTGGATGTTGCGGATCGTCCTTCCGCAGATGGCTCTGATGAGACGCGGGTTGATAGTGATCTTACCGATTGGGCTGCTGTGAGGCAGAAGACTGATGGTTTGGCACCGGCCAATGAGCCGCCTAGGGTGGTTGGTGTGTAGCGACATGGCGGTTCTGCGTTATTTTGCTCCTAGCATGGCGTTGTTGGTCGACGTCGTCTTTCAGTACTGGTTCATCACCCATATCTTTCCTTTCCATTCCATTAGATAGTTTTACATTAAAGGTTCTAATGACTGAGATACCCATACTTGTACACTAGTAGCCTGAGCCCATCACACTCCCACCGCTTTCTCGTCCAAGCTTTGAAAAGCCGCATACTCTGGTAGCTTGAAGCCATCATCCCTACTCTCCGTATCCCCAAGCCACGGACCGACCCACTCCCACCTCAGAACCATCGACACCAGCTTCACGAAACCGTGCAAAACCGTCCTTTTCCAAGCCGAACCCGGATGCATGAACCCCGGTACAAACCGCGACATGACCTGACTCTTTACCACGAACGGTCGAAACCTCTCCTCGTATCTCGCAAGCGCAGCAGTAAGACCTTCAAACGGCGTAGAAGAAGCAGGGTCGTCAACGCAGCTCAGCTCACCCGCCAAAACATACGCCCCCAGCACCGCAAGCGACGTCCCCATGCCCGTACACGGACTAGGACAAAACGCCGCATCACCCAGGGAAATCACTCGATTGCAACTCCACCGCTTCATCTTGACCTGGTTGATAGCGTGGAAGTAGAAGTCTGGCGCCGTAGCCATGGCATCAAGAAGTCTCCCGCTAACCCACCCCGCATCTGCGAATTCCTGCTCAACAAGTTCTTCCTGAGCCTTCCTCCCAGCTCTACCGTGTTTCTCCCATGCGAGTGTCTGCGCGGGGGTTGACGGCATGAAAGTGAACATCGCACGCGTTGTACCGTGGGGATCTGGACGCGTGGCCACGGTACGGGATCCTTTTGCGACGAAGATATCCCACCAGGGTGCATCGGAAGGGAGGCGTGGTATGGTGAAATAGGCGGCGTACATGCCTTTGTGGTCGATGGATACGTCTTGGGCTGGGAAGACCAGACTGCGTGTTTTGGACCATTGGCCGTCTGCGGCGATGAGGAGGTCGTAGGTGCGTGTTGTGCCGTCGCTGAGGAGGACTTTTACGCATGAAGAGTCGTTTTGGAGGATTTGCGTTATTGTGGTGTTGAAGAGGTAGGTTGCGTTGGATTGGGAGGTTGTTGCTTGGTGGAGGAGTTTTGCGAGGTCGCCGCGCAGGATTTCGTATTCTGAGGTTGGACTTGCGGAACCGCCTTCTTTGATGGGGAAGGGGGCGAAGGGGGTTCCTTGCGAGTCAATGAACCGCGTGCCGAGCTCTTTGGTGTTGTAGTGCTCGACCTGTGGCATTAGGCCCATCTTTTTGATACAGGATACGGCGCTGCCTTGGATGTCGACATTCTGGCCGTGGGGTTGGAGGGAGGCGGCTTTTTCTAGGATGGTGATAGTGTGTTTGGGGTTGAGGGAGAGCCAGTGGGCTAGGGCTGGGCCAGCGATACCTGAGCCGACGATCAAGATATCCATGGTAGATGTTGGGATCGTTTCGTTGAGATGAACCTTAGGGAGTGTCAAATAAGCTCAATGACTGATATCCTGCCATGATGGCGAGATCGATCATCCTTATATATACGATAAGATCAAAGCAATCACTATAGCTGAACGCGCGGGATCGGGCGCATTGAAGGATGTGATGAGGTCTCGGGGCTGGCGTGCGTCGGGTTTCGAGCATTCGGGCAACGGTTCGGGGATAATGACCTGCGCACTATTCCCGATGAGGTATCACGCATCTACCATCATCCCGCATCGCCACTTCCCAGACTCCTGTCATCTTCTTTCGCATCTTGCGTTTACCTCAATGGCATGTAACAAGAAAATAACGACATCTGCCGTTACTTCTCGTCGGCGCAGCTAAGTTCCTCAATGGCAACCACAACGCCATCTACGAGCGCTCACAAAAGAACCACTTTTTCCTGCATCCGATGCGCTGAACGAAAAGTCAAGTGTGACAGGCAGAGGCCATGTGCTGGTTGTGTCAAGAGTAACGTCGAATGCATCTTCAACCCGGTGCAACCGCCGAAACAGAGAAACAAGCGCGTCAAAGTCAAGGTACTGACTGATCGGTTGAAACAGTATGAGGCTCTCCTTCAGGAAAAGGGTATCGAACCCGCGAACATTCCGAATCGGACGGATAGTAGGCCGCAGTCGCAACCCTCGATGCACGGCGCGCCCGATCAACAAGAGCAGCATGTCGTTCAATTGCAGACGCCTTCGTCTCTTGAGTCTGACTCGTCGCCGCATGGCCTTCAGACTTCGACTGTTCGTGGCCAGGCACCTTTTCGATTTGTGGAGAACAGTCTATGGGACAGAGTGGTTGAAGAAGTGAGTGGAACACCTATGCCATACGTTGTTACGGTAATTGCATCATCACGCCGATGCTAACGAGTGTTTAGTCTCTCGACCCTAACAACGATTTAGAAGACTCAAGCGATATCAGCGAGGAGGAGTCGACAACGGGCAACTCCGGTTTTGCTGTTATCAGGTCCTTCCATCGCAGCGGCAAGCCTCGTCATCCACCGCTCGAGCGCCTTATTCAGCTTTGGGAGATCTTCGTCAGTAACGTGGATCCGTTGACTAAGGTGGTGCATGTACCCAGTCTACGGTCTATGATTGAAAAAGCTGCCAAAAATCTTGGGCTCATACCGCGACCGCTCGAAGCTCTCATGTTTGCTATATATGGCTCCGCTATCATGTCATTGAGCCAAGAGGAGTGTGAGCAACGTTTCGCCAAATCGCGCGACCAACTACTTTCTCAGTACATCTCGGGGACAGAAGCGGCATTGTCTAGAGCAAGAGTGATGGAGACTTCCAATCTTGTTGTTTTACAGGCATTAGTGATACATCTCGTCACAATACGTGAGATCTATGCGCCACGCGCGACCTGGACGCTTACCGGCGTAGCTGTTCGCATCGCTCAAAGCATGGGTCTTGAGCGCGATGGTAAATATCTAGGAATATGTCCCTTCGAGACCGAGATACGCCGCCGTATCTGGTTCCAGTTGAAAGCCCATGACTCTCGAGCAGCGGAGTTGTGTGGTCTCGCGAAGTACCGAGATCCTGATATCGGCCCTGAGCGAGCTGGATGGCCTACCAACCTCAACGACGATCAGCTGCATCCTGGTATGTCTGAGCTACCCTCAGACTCCAAGGGACTAACGGATGTTATCTTCATTGTGACAAGATGTGAGATGGGAAAGTTCGCGGCGCCACGCATTGCAGCACTGCGGCAAGAGGGAATGGACCCCAGGCAGATGAACCTTGACCATTCGGCAAAGAGCGGGACCGCCCGTGAAAGCTTAATCCAAGAGCTTGAGGACACTATCGAAACGAAACATCTTCGCTACTGTGACCCATCTCAGCCTTTACATCTTGTTGCAATGGTTGTGGCTCGGTATGGTCTCAATGTAGCCCGCTTCCTGATACATCATCCACGGAACTGGGGTACATTGGAGAAAACACCCCTAGAGGAGCGTAAGAAGATCTGGGAAGTTTGTCTCAAGCTTCTCGAGCAACAGATCATGCTGCAGACCAACCCTGTCATCAAGCGCTTTGCGTGGAGCGCGTCCTACTTTCGGCAATGGCATGCTTTGATTCATCTGCTAGATACTCTTCGCGCCCATCCCAACCTTATCGACACTGATCGAGCTTGGCGACTCATCGGCGAAACGTACGACAATAATCCGGAGATGCTCGAGGACATGAGAAGGCCCATTCATGCAGCTGTTGGCAACCTATGCTTGAAGGCCTATGACGATCATGAGGCACTGATGCGCTCGAAAGATGGCCATTTTCGTTCGCCACCTGGATTCATAGCACGTGTACGACACCAACGCGATAGCGCAAGGTTGCGACGCCAGAAACGCACTGCAAATAGTGGCCATGCGGCTGCATATATTGATCAGAACGGGGCTGACATATACCGAATTGACGGCGAGGCAATAGCCGATAACTCGAATGTGTTTATGGACTCAACTCAGGCTTCTTTTCAGGCATCTCTCGGACCTACGCAAGACACTTCATTTGACAGCACTATTCCCTTCACCTTCTCAAACGGTGCGGACGGCACAATCTTCGACAGCATGGATTTGGACGGCGCGCATGAGTTTATGACTACCGACTACATCATGGACGATACATCGCTGGAGTTTATAGACTGGGGCAAGTTGGACAATTGGCTCGCTCACGCTTCCTGACGGGGGAATACAGTTGTTCCGCCCTGCTCCATGATTGCGCTCATGAAGAGCCCACACACACATAATAGCCTAGCCATAGACTAGCGCAGCTGTTTCCTACAGCAGGATTCCATTTATAACTACAGATGTATACTTAGCTGCTGGAACATGTTGATTGGTAAGATGGTGTGGACTTACAAGTCGGCGAGGTTGATTCTGTATTGATCGGCTATCTTCTGGCAAATGTCGCCTGAGCTCACAAGGTGCCATCTGTTACCTACGTCAAGCGATTTGTCAGCCTTTCTTCTCACTCATTTTCCACGGCGTTGCGCAATACTAACATTTCGTTGATGCACCTGATTGAACAGGAGTCGGGGTCGCTGGACCGCTAGGCGGCTTCGTCGTAGTAGTCGAAGCGTGCCATTCACTAGCGGGAAATTCCCATGTGATTACCGGTGGCAGCAATGTGAAGCGAGAGGATGAAGACGATGATTGTATCGTTTTTGTTGGCTTTGGTTGGGAAGTAACCGGTAGATCGCCCTGCCACTCCACGCAGTATTCAGTATTAGCTACGAGTGAGCTGCACGGTGCTCCAGGGTTGAAGCTGATAAATTCAGCTTCAGTGATGCTCCATTCTTCCGCTAGGGATCTGCAGGTGTCACCTTGCTTGGCAGGCCAGGTGAACGAGCAATCCCTTGGACGAAGCACGCGTGCGTTGATGCAGGATGCACCAAGATGAGCAAGGAGAATGTAAAGGGTATACTGAAGGGCAAGCATTATCAGGGTCTTGATGCGTCGCGCGTAATATGAACTTGAACTAAATATCTTGAGGGAAAAGCTCTTGGAGTTGCAAAGATTTAAACTGTGCTTGACGATGAACGCGTTGTGCTGACCGGTTACTTTGCACAGGATTACAACAAGACTTTTGGACTACGGACCGACACCCCGATGTTGCAGAGGATCTCAATGATAGTAGCCTAGATTTGGAAGTGGTGCAGGTCGCCATGGATCTTAATGCTAGTATCGTAGCCTGCATCTTTGTGAGTGTTGTCATGTAAAGCCGGATCAACCTGACTACGCCGCAATGTCCCACGGCAATCGGCTATGCAGTTTTCTGCAGCTTTATATTGCCTTCTTTCTCGGGCCGCACCGAGACTTGCAGATCTTGGAGTGTGAGAGTCGGCGCATATGCGCGTTCAATTAAAGGTGCGGCGTCTTGCCTCCCAAGGTCGTCTACCGCCCGTATCTTGCTAGAATGAAAGAATGCGACTTGGCCTCTTGGAGTCCGGAGCACATGCGCACGCAGACAAAACAAAGCTTCCTGATGATATATCCATATTATCCAGTTTTATTTACAGCACAGAATTGACGGCGGCTGCAGCTATCCCTGCGCCTGCAACTACTATCACTTTGACACTCTCCACTCGGCCGATGACACTGTTCGGCAACGCAGTCTTAGCTGTGACCTGAGCTTGGGTCGGAACAATATTCGAGATGGTTGAAGTCGTTTCTAGAGAGCCAGCTTTTGATAGCGTGGTGGTTGAAGGTTTGTCGATCTCATGCTCCCCGGCGTAGCATCCGGCAAACGCAATAGTGTTATTCAGCCAGACTTCGCCGTAAAGAGCCTCGCGCATTTCTCTGATCCAAGTATTGGGGCAGCGTTGAACGACTTCGACGGCTCGCGAGCTATGTGCAGCCCACCAGGAAGATGCAACGCTGCCATAAGAAGAGTAGGCCGGAAGAACTTCTTGAGGCGCAGCGGTAGTGAAAGCGCACCAACTCGTCCATTCGGGAAAGGGACATGTCGGTACAACCGTCGCCGAAGGCGTGATAGTAAGTGTGCAGTCTTCGACCAGCTTGTCTCCGTAGATAAGAAGCTCATCCAGAAGGGCTCCAGTAGGCTTCGGCATATCGAAGTACTGCGCGATGTTCTCAGTCGCGCAGTACCAAGGATCTCGGGTGATCGTTGGCTCTGCGATAGGCATGAGCGTCAGTTGGACCGCAGGCGCTGTAGTAGCGGCTCTGGATGGAGAAGTGCCTGTAAGAAGCGCCATAACAAGTAACGTGTCGTCGAGGGTTGGTATGCCAAAGTTAGGTTTATCCGTGAAGTAATATGACGACGCAGCGATTTGAGACACATGTCTTCGTTTTATCTTCAATGGCAAATAACGTGCTCGAAAATAGGGGCTTCACACCTTGACCAAGTGCGTCCCTTGCACGCACTTCCACCCGGCTAAACGTGGGCTTAGTGACCTTGCAGGGTGATGCATTCGTCACTGCCCCCAAGCGCTTTGGGATGACGTCGGTAGTCTGAAATGAATCATACTTGCATTCGTATGAGGTTCACTATCTACTGAAAGAGCTCGACATTCCTTTTCAGGGCCACGGGGCGGTCACACAGCCCCCTTGATAGTAGTGGAGTAGCTTCTACTGACTAAAGTCGGGATAGTGCTGCTGCAGGGCTGCTTGCACCGCGGCGAGACACTCTGTCTTTCGATAGTGCGTCAGATCCGGCCAACCGTGCTCACGATAGATCTTTTGTACCATAGCCACAAGACCCTCGCCTTTATGCCCCAGCGCCGCATCGCTAGCAATGACTGACTTCGGACCGATGGGAACGAAAGTGAGTTGTTGGAATTGATCTTTGAGCATGCTAAAGAAATCAGCAATAGCCCAGCATCCTGATTCGGCCCGCCATTCTGCCTCGTTTTCCGGCGCGTAATCGTATGGATCATCTTCGATCATCTCGCGCGAAGGGCTGATCATGACTTCATTGGGGCATTCGATCCAGTAGATGACGCCCAAATCGGTGTCGAGCAGGAAGTTCGGGTTGTCTCTTCCGCCAGTCGTTAAACCGACTACGTGGGCCGGTACTTCGTCAGAAATGCTGGCGCCTTCTGAACAGACCTTCAGCGTTTCGCCGGTGCAGACACCTCGAGATAGCTCTTCAGAGTCCCCGTGCCAGTCGGAGAACACACATTTTGGGGCTGCTTGGGGGTTTTCGAAGTTGCTTCCGGGTCCACAGATATACGGCAGATGTTGAAGGAGGGATATTACTTCGTCCGTCTTGTTGACATCTTGCATGGAGTCGGGCGTGATAGAGGGCCAACCTCCTTTGGGTGGATAAATGATGGCGCCTTCTTCCATGTACATTCGGGTAAGAAACTGGTAGTAATCGCGGACTGCAGCGATGCATGCCTCGCGTGAGTAGCCGATGTCTTCGAGTGCAGGCATGTTCTCGTAATCGTGGAAAGAGAATGTTATCGAGAACCTGTGTTGACGAGAAGTGTGGTTCATATAATCGCTCGTTTACCCGGCTCGGCGTACATGACCTTGAGGTATTCATTTACCGACCCGTTGGGACGGAACAGCCTGACCACCCTACATTGATACAATCAAGCGATTCGCAGCTGCGCCACATCGCTCCTTGAGTCCGGCGAATGCGGAAGATTTGCGTTGCGGTTGTTCCCAAGATGTGGATGTGTGCTTCACCAATTGCGGAAGTCACACGTTCTCTGCATCGACCTGACAGCAGTGTTTTTGTGAAGTAATCCTCAAATTTTCACCAGACTTGCAATGGCAAGATACCTCTTCATTTTGCTCCTTTGGGGCAGCGCATGGGTACATTCCGCTATGTACCCCAACGGTACTTGGGTTAGCGAACCCCTTACTGAAGACGACGCCTCACCGATTGACAATCCGGATACCTATTACCCCGACCAGTACAACTGCCCGCTAGCATGTGTAGACTACGCAAACACGCACAGCTGGATCACGTACTTTTCCATGGACCGTATCGAGCGGTGCGAGAAGGCCATGCTGCTTGAGCTCTCTGTCTTAGCGGCACTTGACGATCCTCAGACAACACCGCTGATCCGCAGCTGCACGTTGGGCGGCGAAGGCGACGAATCCATGATTGCAGATGTCCTTGTCGAGAATCCAAAGAAGACAGGAGACCTTTTTCGGGCGAGCCTCCAGTCTGCGCCAGCATGCGTTCTGGATGGCACAGAGACTTCACACGACATGCAGCTGACGACTCGCGGTGACGGAAAGGAACGATCGGGCGATATCGTGGGGTTGCTCAAGGGCATGGGGATGTATTTTGCTGCACGCGATAATTGTGACGAGAAGTTCTTGTTTGCGCGTCACAAGGATCTGGCTGTCGGCGTTTATGTCGGAGAAGACCTGGGAAAGCCAACGGCGGAGTCCGCGCTTAGCGTGCTGGCAGATCACGTGCGATCCAACGGAGCTCGGACGCCGAACCAGATCGTGGTCGAGCTCTGCGGTGGCGGACGCCAGACACGAAACGCGTTCGGCCTCATTATCGACAGCACCGGTGATCTTGTTCATGTCCAGAAAGCAGCATTAGGGTGGAGCAATGGGAACTGCACACTACCGGACGGGCAGAGCGTCGTCGGTTATCTCCCAGACGTGCGAGTAGTGGATCTTCATGGCGTCAACAATACGATCAATACCAACAGTACCAGTAATGTCGCCAACAACAATGCTACCCATGTTCGCAAACGCGCTGTGCCGCAAGCGGGATCCGATGGCGTCTGCGCAACACACCTTATCCAAAATGGAGATACTTGCGATCAATTGTCCGGAGAGTATGGCGTGACTATCGGCAACCTTGAGAAGTGGAACAAAGGAAAGACTTGGGCATGGACTGAGTGCAAGGATATGCTGATCGGCTACAGCATGTGCGTCAGTGACGGCTTACCCCCCATGCCACCGCCACAGCAAGGTACCCAGTGTGGGCCGCTGGTTCCTGGCACGCAACGACCGACGAATAAAGCATCACTAGCTGATCTGAATCCGTGCCCTTTGAAGGCATGCTGTAGCAATTGGGGCTTTTGCGGTGTATTTCCAGCCCATTGCGACATCCATGCGCCCAAGGATGGTGCGCCAGGCAGCAAAGACAAGAATTTCCAGAACACCTGCGTCTCGAATTGCGGCAAAGAACTGTTGGAAAATTCTCCAGCCCCGAACGAATTTATGCGAATCGGCTACTATGAAGCATATAATCACAAACGTCCATGTCTGCGGCTCAACGCTCGAGATGCAAACGTCGGCAAATCCTACACGCACATCCACTGGGCGTTTGCCGACATCAACCCCGATAACTGGAAGCCCGCTATTCGAGACGGCTCTGACCATTGGAAAGACTTCAAGGAACTGAGAAATGTCAAGCGCATTGTTTCATTCGGCGGCTGGGCGGCTTCGACAGAACCGGCAACGTACAACATCATTCGCGGAGCTATCATAGACCACCGTGATGAGTTCGCTAGGAATCTCGCTCTCTTTGCCAAAGTGGAAGGAATTGATGGCATAGACATTGATTGGGAATACCCGGGTGTGAGTCTCGCAACAGTCACCTGCTTTGTAGCACACGCTAATCACCAGCTCATAGGCTCCAGATATATTAGTGGATGGCCGACCTATTAGCCGACCGAGTGATGGCCTGAACTATCTCAAGTTTCTTACGGTTCTCAAGAAAGAATTGGATCCTGGCATCTCTGTGTCCATCGCCGCACCGGCCTCGTACTGGTATCTCAAAGCTTTTCCTATCGACAGGATTGCGGTAGTCGTTGACTACATTGTTTACATGACGTACGATCTGCATGGGCAATGGGATGCTGGTAATCCCAATGCATATGACTCATGTCCTTCCGGTCGATGTATCCGGAGCCATGGTGGGTGCTATAACGACTCAGACGAGATCGAACGGTCATGCTGACTTACAAGATAGTCAACTACACAGAGACGCGAAATTCTCTAGCTATGAGTATGTTCGATCAGTGAATGAATGCCACACAGCATGCACTCATATTAACAATATATGCAGTCACGAAAGCAGGCGTACCCAACAACAAAATCTTCGTTGGAGAAGCAAGTTACGGCAGATCTTTTCACATGGCCCAGGACGGCTGTTGGGGCCCAAAATGTGAATTCACAGGATCCAGAGACAGTTCCGACGCTACTCCGGGCCGATGCACTAGAACGCCAGGGTACGTTGCGTATGCTGAGATCACTGAGCTTATCACCAACCCTGGTGAGAAGTCGTCTCGAACTTTTTTTGATAAACAATCTCGTACTGATGTTATGGTGTACAATGGTGAGTTATACTTCCGATGAGCCTCACCGGGGTTGCGCTACAGCCATCGTCGGCGTTTGCATCTAGCCTTTGCTAATAGGAATCTGCTTCTCAGGTGACTATATTAGTTATATGACTCCTCAGACCAAGGACGCCCGACGTGCCGAATGGAAATCCTTCAACTTTGCTGGGACTGTTGACTGGGCCGTCGATCTCCAGCAATTCACTACGCAAGAGATGAGAGCCCTACCCCAACGGCCTGAGAGTGGTGAAGGGTGTACCTCGGGGGAAGGCATCAGTTTGGACTCAGGCGACCTATGCGATTTCACCTGTCTCTATGGGTTCTGTCCTGAGAGTGTATGCATATGCCACACAACTGGCCAGCTTCTGGACCTGCCTACCGAGAAAACTGGACTTAACATCGTAGCTTGGGACGAGCTTAATGTGGAACTCAATCGACTCTGTATATTTGCTTGCAGATACAACTATTGTCCCGAAGAGATATGCACCACCCCCATCGATGGGCCCGACGAAAGTGGACCGCACGGATTCGGGGAAGATTTCGGTAACGGCGAGGATCCCGGCTATTACAACAAGACCGCGGCGAAACTCGCCAACGATCAGGCATGCATCATATACAAGGACCCGGCATACAATGAGGTGAGCAAGAAGCAGTGCAAACCTATTTGTCAGGATGCACTAGATGAGGCGGCAGAAGAGGGAAGAACGTCTAATTATGGGTGTATCGGGTTTTACCCTATGGAAAAGAGTATTCCTTGGGAGAGAGCACCGGGAGCGGGTAGTCAGTTGATTGCGCCTGGGAAATGTTTGTGCGACAACTTTCTCCTCAACGAACTGGCCGACACCGTTCTAGAAGCAATGCCCATGATCGCTCAGGTACGCTTATCGATACTCGATATTCGCAATGAGAAAGCGCTTCTTCGTCTGACCATTCTCTAGATCAGTTGCTATGTGCTTATGTCAAGCATCAAACTCGTACTCGACGTTGGAGTTCAGTTCATACCTGTAGCGGGCAAGGCCCTTGACCTTGGCCTAGGTACGTTGACTCATTTGTCTAGCGTCTTACTGCCTCCCACACGCCATATCAGTATTGACTCAAACTCGCAGACATGGCTACAACAGCCGCACAGATGGCTGCCTATTTGTATCCCGAAGAGGAGGACCCAGAGGGCGCTTTCTCATGGTGGCTGAGTCCATGCGGAGGTACGGACCTGGTGCCAGAAGACATCAAGAAAGCTTTCGACATAATGAGCACCATAGCAAACGGTATATCGAGCTTTAAGCCGCCAAAGCGCATGAAGCGTCACAGTCGCAAAAAGGGTGACGACGGTAACCCGACTGACAGGGCAACGCCCCGTCGACCAGGTGGAGGTGGCAGCGGTAACGGCGTCACTAAGCCAGCAAAGAAATGCAGAGTACCCGCGAGCAAATCCACTTTGCGGCTTGGCGCGGCCTCTAACACGCTCCGCAAACAATCCTGCGTAAATGGCTCAACAAGAAAAGACAACATGGTCATTACCTCCCTCGCGTTTGCACCAAACGCGGTACCCGTGCAGTTCAAAGCAACGTGTTCGAAGCAATTCTCGCAAGCCTGTTACCACTACAGCTCTGTCATTCGAAACCATCCATCGTGGGCGACCCTGACCTGCGACGAGGAGAATGCCAGTGTCAAACATCGGCTCGACGCCAGTGCCACCGCTACTTGGACCAATCAGCACAAGGGCCGTGGATGGGACAAGCCCCCAAAATGCGATCGAGATGAGTATCCGCCTGCCTATCTCCTACACGAGAAACACCCCGCCTACCTTTATGCCGGCCTCAACGACCAAGGCCAGATGGTGCGTCTTTTGCCAGCCCCAGAGAACCAGGGCGCTGGCAAGATGTGGAAGGGTGCATGCTTCAAGCCCCCACTGGAGGATCTCACAGACTCTGAATTCGATGCAAAAGCCAACGCTGCGCCCAACAAGGTCTATGCGATGATCACAGGGTATCAATACACTCAAGTATCAGTGACCGTCACTCAGCGTCCTGAGTTCACGATTGCCGCATGGGGCCATGCTGCCGCCCCACCTAATGAAGGTCTGGACCAGAATAGCTGTTGGCCTTCAAATATTGCAGCCGCTGATCCGGGCTTTGTACTGTTGACGTATGATCCTTGGTACGGGAACAGGGCTCCTCCTTACGATTACAAGCAACCGTACGTTCAGGGTGCCAACGGATCTTAGTCGTATGGCGAAACCAGCTTCGCTACGCTGCGAGCATTCCATCCCAGACAGACTAATTTGAGATTGAGAGTAGATAGAATCGATTATGTCTGATATCCATGGATCTTCATAACGTATGCTTGTTTGTTACCGAATGCTGTTTGGAGTTCGGCACAGATTCGGGAGATGACGCCTGATCTCCGGAGGTATGCTCGTTTCGTACTAGCGCCCTTTGCTTCGGAACCGAACCCAATCCGTCGGCTCGCTTGGCAATTCGTTTACTTAGAAAAGTGACGAGGCTCTGTTACCGTTTGCGCTTGTATCTAGGTATACAAAGGTCCGACCAATCCGTAAGAGATGTCACGAGACCCCGAATGCGAAGTACTGCCTTCACACTACGCAGGATGGCAGGATCATCTCAGGTTGGTCGAAGAGTGGCCTGAAGTCCCTCAATTTTGCTTTCGCGCTTTTGGTTTCAAGCCCCGGTTGTTGCAACTCAAGTTAAATGTGGGCGGTTCAGGTCGGAAGCGCGCAAAGCTAGTTGAATTGTGCTCACCTCAGCTCTGTGACCTCACTAACATATTGCACAGACTTCCCAGACAGGTCGTACGACGCGGAATTCTTGGCTTCTGTTTTCAACTCGGCCCTCGCGGTTTTGATAATCGCGATGCGTTGAGTTTCGGACCTATTCAGTATAAAACCATCTGGGCATCGACTCAGCCACTTGGAATGAGAACCAACGAATCTATACTTCTCAGAGCCACAGTCCTCTTCATTCATAATCTATACTGAACATGCGTTATCAACTTTGTTTCTTGCTCTGCGCGAGTATTTCTGCTCATGGAGCAGTCCTCCCATCCCGGCGCCAGGGCATGTCGCCCTTCTCAATTGGTACCAGTTCTAGTTCCAGTACGCGTGCATCTGCCCTTGCAGAGAAGCGAGCTGGCTGGGAATATGGACCCTCAATTGCCGGTAACACGGCATTCTACCCAGCTGGCAGTATCGGTGGACCTGTTGCGAAAGCGCAAGGGGACGGCTTCAAAGCTTTCCAGGACGAATTGAGCGCCAAGCATGAGGCGGATGCTAAAGCTGCCCAAGCATCCATTTTGGCAGTAAGTACATGTGAAAGACTGATCCTATATGTCGATACTTAACATATCTCAGGCTGGCGGGTTGAAATCTTTAGATGACTATGCGAAGCTGTATAACGGCCTTTGGAAAGAAAGCGCGCCCAAAGGACCATACCCAGGACTATTGACGAATTACACGGACGATTTGCTCTTTTCAATGACTCAGCTTTCAGACAACCCGTACAAGATCGTGCGAGTGTCAAAGGACGCAAAGCTTCCTTTCTCCGTCTTCAACGCAGACGCGACATCGGGGCAAACACTGGAAACGCTCCAATCCTCCGGTCGTCTCTTTCTTGCCGATTATCTGGACCAAAAGTATCAGTCACAGTCCGCTGGCAAACATGGCGCTGCCTGCCAAGCGTACTTCTACATCGACCCCAAGTCTCAGAACTTCATGCCGCTCGCCATCAAATCGAACGTAGAAGGCTCTGACCTCGTATATACCCCTCACGACTCGCCTAACGATTGGTTGCTGGCCAAGATGATGTTCAATCTTAACAGCTTCTGGTACGCGCAATGGTATCATCTCGGAGGCACGCACGCGGTGAGTGAGATTGTGTACCTGAGCGCGATCCGGACGCTGAGTGAGGAACATCCTGTCATGGCCATACTACATCGATGTAAGTTTAACCACTCTTCCATCATTGTAACTCCGAACTCAAAGCGGTGATGTAGTAATGAAGGATGCCTGGGCGTTCCGAGTCATCGGCCGTGACAGACTGATAAACCCCGGTGGCCCCATCGACCAATTCTTCCCATGGTCCGGCAGTGGAGCCGGTAACTACACCGACTCACTGTATCATTCCGGCGAATCCAGCTCTTTCCAGGCGAACTATTTCGAAACCAATCTGAAAAGCCGAGGCCTGATTGACTCCAGCTTTGGTCCCGAGATCAAAGCGTTTCCTTTCTACCGGGATGCATCTGTTATCCACACTGCCATTCGCCAATTCATGACCACCTTCGTGGACTCCTATTACACGGATGCAAGCGCAATTGAAAACGACAGTGAACTCCAGGCATGGATCCACGAAGCAGTACCAGCTCAGATAGTGGACTTTCCATCTACACTGCAGGACAAGCAAACTCTCATCGACATCCTGACCCATATGGCCCACCTGGTATCAGTAGTCCACGGCACGCTCAACACAAACGCTCTCGCCGCCTCCACTGGCGTTCTTCCTTTCCACCCACTCGCTTTCTACTCGCCATTGCCAACTAAGAAGGTTGTCACCGACATCATGCCCTTCATGCCACAAGTCGAAGCTGCTATTGGCCAAATCAGTTTGGTCGTAGATTTTAACAGGCCTACATTCGTCAACAGCGAGGAAACGATATCGCACATGTTCGACAACACGACTATGCTAGCCGGGATGGGTAGAGAATTAGAGAACGCGGAGCAGGATTTCCGACTTGCGATGAAGAATCTGAGTGCGGTGATCAGGGATAGGAGGTTTGGGGAGGACGGTCTGTGCGCAGACATGCCTTACTGTTGGACCACTTTGGATCCAGATACAGCTAGCTATTGGCTGACTATCTAGAGAACCACCTGGGCAGTGTCGCAGAACAGAGCACGTGTTTGGTAGCTCTCTGGCAGCTCCTTCTCACCCATCTTTCACTTTCACCTTTAAGTATCTACATACACCATTGATGTGCTTCATGTAATCAATATCGCACTTCATATACATCAATGCTAATTCTTGACTTAGTACGTGGTTGTACTCTGAATCCACCTGCCCATCCACACCTCATTGACTCGCTTCGCCTCATCCACCAAACCCAACTCAAGCAACAGCTGCACAGAACCCCTAACAGCCGAGTGCAGCGACGAACTGACCCAAGCATGCGTCGGGGCCGTATGCTCTCCAATGAAGATGGTGTTGTGCTCCGTTCGATGGTATGCCGGGATATACAACTTATGCTGCATCACATCTGGACGGCACCAAGCAGTCCCCGTGTGTTCGTCCTGCAGCCAACACAGCTTCTCGTAGTCCCCCGTATACAGGTCTCTCGCTTGCTCTCCATGCACACTGACAACAGCATCCAACACAGTCTGCACATACTCTTCGTCTGAGAAGCTTGTGAACTCGTCGCTCCAGTGGCCACCCCGGTAATGCAAGATCAAGCCTGGTCGGGACTCGTTGAGGCCGTAGACAGGGTAGTAAAGAGCGCCAACGGCCGCACTGGGCGGCGTGGAGTATCCGCCGAAGATGGGGCGGTCGCCCTTCTCCCAGAAACGTTCTCTGAACAGCAGCGCGACTTTGCAGGCAGATTTGAAACGGAGGCCAGCTTCGCTGATCGCACGGCCGAGTACGGAGGAGAATTTCGGAAGCGACATGAAGCGTGTCATGGTGAATGGCACTGCCATGATTGTGTAGTCGTATTCTTTCGATTCGTACGTTCGGTTGCTGACACTGGGATACCACGACAGTTTTGTGCGTGTGTGGCCTTCGTCGTCTTCGACAGCCTCCAGTTTTCTGATCTTACGGTTCAAAGTGAGACGGTCGCTGACATGGGGAAGGAATGCATCGGATAGTTTGTTGAAGCCGCCGTCTACACACTTCCACTCAGTCATACCCAGTGCATCCGGTCCGCCATCTTGTGCAAGATTTGAGTTGTGCACCAACTCATCCCAGAAGACGTCGTAGTCGCTCGCTGTCCAGATGGCGTCTGTGACGTTTTCGCTTGCGCCAAAGACGTGGCGCATCATGGCCTGCTCGCTCCAGTCGTCGAGACCTTGGTCCATGGCCTTCTTGTGTTCGCGCCACACATCGCGTTGTACTGCCTTGAGTCTGTCTTTCGACTTCAGAAGCTCGTTCATGCGCTGCTTCGTTTCAGTGTACTCCTGCGTGTCCAGTGGTGCTGGTCGCCCGAGAGACGAGTTTGCTTGAATCTCCGCTCGCGTTGGAAGTTGCCCATTTGGAAGTCTGCCAGTTCCTAGGCCAAGGATCTCGTTGGGGTGATGCTGAACCCATGGGATGAAGTCGACTTTGTAATGTGGATCGTTTGCGTTCATCTCATTGAGGATCTCGGCCAACTGGAATACCATCTGATGGTCGCTGTATTCGATGGTCTCTCCATCCTTGTATGTGATGGAGTGAGGAAGGCGCATGGGACCCATCTCCGCCCATTCTTGCGTTCCACCAACGTACTTGGTCCGGAACCGTCCTCCGACACGGTAGCTTGCCTCAATGATCTCCCAGTTGTGCACACCAACGCTGTCAAACATCAGTGCTGTAGCGAGACCAGAGATGCCGGCGCCGACTATTGCGATAGTCGCGTTCTTCTTGGATGAGGAGGCAGAGGAGGTTGTGTTGATCGCCGCGACACCGTCAAACCATGCTCCAAGAGCGTCGAAGTCCTGTAGCAATGGTTTGGTGCGGCTGACGTCCCTAGTCTCTGAAGATGTTCTGGGACTCGAGATGGGGTTGCTGAGCACCAGCCCTGTAGAAGCTAATGTAATGGTGAATGACCTCAACATCCTCGCCGCTGGATATACCATGTTCGTTAACACTTTCGACTTGGAGAACTTGGAAACGAAGGATTAGCAAACCGTGTTTGCAATACCTTGACCATTCAAGCTTAATATAAGATACCGACTACCCGCGAACCATGATGGCCAACCACCATGCACCTCCACTTGGCGAATGGACACACCGCGCATCTTAACAGAAAACAGCAATGCAAAATGTACTATCAGCATTAGAGTGCCATCACGGTAGGCAGAGGACTGTGTCGCGTTCCCACTCTTTACAAACATATCGATCAAGCGAAGCTGGGCGGTTATACCCAGTGACCCGAACGCGCGCCCCGAAAAGCTTTCAGCATGTTGTATACAGCAGCGTCTTTCGTCTTCCACTCTTCATCACGCGCTGCATCTTTGGAGTCGCCAAACGTGTATTTAATCTCCTCGTTCTGTTTAGTCGCCTCTTGGTTCTTGTTTGTGTTTCTCGGCGGTACTTCGTACCGAGTTGGGGTGAGGATGTGGACTTGCAGAGAGGCGTTTTCGACATCGCGAATGAGTTGTGCTATTAGCTGTCAGACCCTGTGATGCAGATCGAATGAGGCGGACAGGTGCGAGCGAGAAAATGGGCGGTGTTACTCCATGGAATTCCCAGCTCTTCGGCCTCAACCCGGGCTTTGTTCTGTGCGATGCAGCGCTCTTGCAGCTCCCATTCTTCTAGGGAATATACAGGTGCATCGTCCACCTTGGTCTCAGTGAGGTCATCGAGGGATGGCGAATGCAGTCGCTGTGTTACAGCTCGGGAGATGAGTTGTCGGTACTGTACTGCTTCTCGGCCATCGTTTGTTTCGTCTTCGCGGGCTTGTGGATGTGTGTCGGTGTTGAAGTTCGAGGGTTTGGCTGAGCTCAGTTCCAGGAGTGTGATTGCCATGGCGCAGCGAATGAGATCGACGACCGTAAAGTAAGGACATTGGGTCGTACAGAGGGAGGGTGAGTATATAGCTACTGGTATAAAAACATTGGCGTTTGTGGTATGATGAACTAGACGCGCCGTGTGCTCGTTATTCAATGATGCGATTGCACCATCGTATGGCTGAGTATCGGGGTAGCTAGTGTGGTAGTATTTCACGGTTTCTTCACCAGCCTTCTCTTCACGTATACGCAGCACACGCCTGCCGCGATACCGTAGCCGCGTTGCTAGACGTGCAAACCCGCTTCATATTTACATCTTTGTCTCGTCCACAGGCCATTCCGCCTGGTGTGTACATCATCCTCAAGGCCCTACAAGCTCAGCCCATCAGCCAGCACTGCGCCATACCAGATCATAGCTCCCAACCCCACCATATTGACCAGACTGCTGACACCGTGCAGGATGCCGAACTGCTTGTTCAGAGCCTGCATCTCCTTGCTATGTGGCCCAGAATCGTAGCTCTTCTTCCCATCCCTCGTCTCCTGATGCTTCCTCAGACCCATGACCTCCGTTGTCTTGGGTCCAACGTAGACCCAGTTGACAAGCGCAGTGAGAAACATTGTGGTGTGCAGCCAGGAACTCAGGTTATCGGTTGCCGTCGGCGGAATGGGCGAGGAAGAGAGGAATGGTAGCAAAGACGATGCTCCGCCGCGAGGGTACGTGAGCAGCATGACGACGGGAGTGAGGGTTTGTAGTGTGAAGTAGACGGGGAAGGTGTGCTTCTGGAGCGTGGAGAATTGAGGACGAGGGAGGACGCGGAAGGCTACGATGCCTGAGACGAAGGATTGGAAGAGCGTTGAGCCCAGGAGCGTGCCATAGCTATGCTTGTGTTAGAGGACCTTGAGGATTGAGGGCTGGTACAGTAGCTTGGTACCTGAGCAGATGGTATGTCGCCGGATTCTTGAATGAAGAGAACGACATGTTGGCGATTGTGTTTCGTCACTCAATCACGTTGTCAATGAAAACAAGAGTAGGAGGGAGGAGGAACGTAAGCGTTTCAGAGCGCCACGAGCAGCAGCCTCGGCAAATGATGATCTCACGACATGTCGGAGCCATGCGGTGACCCTGCATGCTACCCGTGCGCTATCCCATCTACAGCCTGGCGTGTCCGCCCCGCTAAAGATTTCGCGAGCCCCTCCATTGCGCATCATGGCGTCGTGCGACAATCCTTCAGCCCGTCTAAGGAAGGATCCTAGCCTGCGTCCGACCAGACCGCCGTACACCGACCCTCACGATGCTACTTCCTTCGCTGATCAACCTCCGCCGCCCAGCCAACACGCCCCTCGAGCCTGAAGACATCTTTGGGTCCTCTCTCGGTGGCATCTTCACCGATGATACACAGAACCAGCATGGCGACGATCCGAGCACGGTCATTCTGTATCGCAACGCCAAGTTCGGAGAGCAGGAGATCAGGGTCGCGGATGTGAATGGCGAAGAAGAAAGAAGAAAGTTTGCGCACTACCTATGGAATGCCGGCGTCATGATGGCAGAACTGGTCAGCGGGCGAGTGGAGGGCGGCGATCTAGGTGCCAGTGGAAAGGGCCTGCACGAAGATGAGGAGGGCTGGAGAGATGGTGAATGGTGGACAGACAAAGAAGAAGAGAAGAAGTGGAGCGTTGAGGGCGAGACGGTGTTGGAGTTGGGTGCAGGTGGGTTGGGCTGAGTAAAGAGAGGTGTAGAAAAGAGTACTGATGGAACATTTGCTCGCAGGCGTAGGATTGGGCGGGATTCTGAGTACATTGGCGGGAGCCAAAGAGGTATGCCCATGTCTGGAGTGCGCATGAGCTGCAACTAACAGTCCGCTAGGTCGCCATCACCGACTATCCTGCCGCTCCTATCCTCGATACCCTCAGAACGAACGTCGCGAAAAACGTCCCAGCGCATCTCAAGCCCAATGTGACCGTCGAAGGTCATCAATGGGGCTCCACAAGCACACCATTCGAGACCTCGCACGCGAACCGCTACACACGCATTCTCGCGGCAGATTGTCTCTGGATGCCATGGGAGCACGAGAGTCTGGCCAAGTCGATGCTGCACTTCCTATCCGACGACCCATCCGCACGTATATATTGTATTGCAGGCTTCCACACGGGCCGCGCCAAGGTCGCACCCTTCTTCGAGGAGGTGATACCGGAGCAAGGGCTGGAGATCGAGGAGATATACGAGATGGACGTCAACGGGCAGCGGCGGCCGTGGGCGAAAGAGCGCGATGGAGGGACGGAGAATATGGGCGAGCGGAAGAAGTGGCTCGTTCTCGCGCGGATACGGCGGGCTGTTCGGCAGTAGTAATGGTAGTAGTTCCTTCTCTCAACAGACGAAGCGCGGAATCACACCCTCTTGAAGCACAGCGTAACAACACTGCTGCCCGTCTTGCCTCCAAACGTGAAGCTGGGATACTTGACTTTGCCCTCAAACTCCAGCTCTCCGCCTCCAAACCAGCCCTTGAGCTCTTCTTCTGTCCAATTGCAGCTCGTGATGAGGAATCTGCCGCCCTTCTTCATGAGAGGCTCAACCTTTGCCCTGTATCCTTCGCAGATCCTGCGACCTTGCGCGTCTTCTTCTTGTGATAGGCAGATGGCGTCAAATGTGCCCTTGTCCAGTACAACATCGAAGCCAGAGCCCAGCCACGCGCCCGGCGGCTGCGACAGAATATCCCACTCGTGGAACGCGATGTCCTTGTAAGAGTCATCCTTCGCGTCGCGAATCGACGTGGCAAGCGTGACGCTCTGCGCAGAGTAATCGACGCCGACCATCTCGCCGTTCCACTCGTCCTCGCGCAGCGCAAACAGCAAATGCCCATTTCCTGTTCCCAGGTCCAGGAACCGCGCCGCTTTGTTGTCATCCCCATCGTCCTCTTTGTGTATGTGGCCCTCGTCGCTGAGATCTTCAAGGAAAGATAACATGCGCTCTTCGGCGCCCGCGTCGCTGAACCATATTGTTCCTTCGTCGTCGGCGTTTGCGGCAAAGTTTTGGCGTTCGGTGTTGTACGCGGCGTCCCAGTAGGATTTGGTACCCAGTTCGCTGGGGTCGAGGTGCGTGGGTGCGGTCATTGAGTGAGGGTTCGAGGAGGAAGGAGCGACTGCAGTGGGTGTAGGAGACGTGGGTGATGCGACGGTGTGGCAGAGAGTTGGTAATGTTTTTGGAGGGGCAGAGAGTTGGTTCCTGGCTAGACGCTCGCGCATTGCGCTGCAAGCGAGGCGGGCCGCCTTTGGAATGACAAAGCATGTCAATTATCATATGCACATGGAGATCGTTGAAGAGAGATACGCATAGATTAAGTGGAATTGGTTGATTTGCTATCCGAAGTGTGAAGTCATCCTTGCAGTTGCCTATGCGACTTACATCGAGCTGCTCTCGCAGTCTACAAGCAGGTCTGCGAGTACCCTTACAACGGTCGGTCGCTGCTGCGAATGACCTCACCCTTGTAGACTGTCCGGTAGATATGGCCGAAACCTTGAGGGTCTGTTTGATACCGAGCATTGATCCGTCTCCAATAATCGGTCGAAATCTCTTTGATCCAAACCTCATCTTTCCACTCTTCTTCCCATTCGTTTACTGTCCAGTTTCGTCTCTCAAAGAAGAAAGTGTCCTGATCCCACATCTCACCCACGTCTCCAGTGAAGGTGATGTTGATTGTACCGTCAATCACCGCGCGAATAGTGTCAGAAAACCCATCCGGTAGATGCCATGGCAAGCCAATGCGGCATAGATAGCGACGGTCGAACAATCTGGACGTTGGACACGTATTCTTGACTCGGCATTGTTCCAGCATGGCTTCTTGCATGGCTGCCGCATATTTGAGAATGTTCCAAGCCTCGAGAGATTCGCGCGAGTGACCATCGATCACGAGCCGAAAAGAGCCTGCTGGCATCCAATGGGTATGAAGTAGGTAGACCTCCGTTAGCCATGGAATAATAGCATCTAAAACATCAGATCCAGCAATGGAGTCATATCCGGCATAGAGGCTGTCTGGGTGGCCCAAAGGTAGGAGGTTGGCTAGTAGATCGATGTGTCTTTCGATCCGAAGCTTTGAATTCGCCTGGCACAGAGGAATGAGACCTCGTACATGGCATACGGAACGCGGCATCGACTTGAAGTCTTCGTGGAGGACGAGTTTACGCAAATTGCGCAGCCTTTTGGAGGGGATTTGATGCACTGCGACATGCGTTAGAAAGCTCATTCCGTGCGAGGATTCCTGTATTACAATAAACAATAAAAAGTGCTGTGGTGAGGGACTTGGGAGATCAATGAGTTGGGATAGCACTTACAAACGTCGATCGCTACTGCAGCAGCTGAGAAGTAGTATCTACTGTTGCAAAGTTGGCGAGGATCCTCCACATGGCACCAGTTGTAAATCAAGGTCTTGTCTTCTTCTGGCCGGCAAACGAGCCCTTCCATCCTGGCAAGCTCGCTGTCCGTGGGAATGGACCAAGGGTTTGGCCTCCAATACAGTACATCGTGTAACGCCCCTTCCACGAAGATATTGTACTGGCCCATACCTCGAAGGTTGCCCACCGGGCAGATAATGTTTCCAAAGATTCCTTGTGTGAGCCGCGCAAACTTAGTTGAATCTCGATTCTTCGCCATGTCGAGCGCGAGCACAAGAGCTTCTACGAACTCTTGACACTCATGATTGTCCAAACTCATATCCATATATTGCGATAGTATATTGATATTTCGCGTAACTGCTTGCTGCAGGGGTCCTTCAAGACAGTCTTCGATGACTGGATAACGAGCTCTTATCTTAGCAAGATCTGACGCGTCGAGCAGTTCCGCGACACAGATCAGCATGTATTGTCTTTGAACTTGAACCATATCAAATACTAAGAAGTACGTCAGTATAATTTCAAGCTCATCCATCGATGTTCGACGCTTACTCTGGCAAAATCGAGCGGCTCTTGACCGGAGTTGCTGGAATTCTGCGCCATCGTCCACAGAGCAAAGCGTGCTAAACTCGACATTCTGGAAAGCGACGTGCTGCATCTCGTCTGCAGCAATCTTGCAGGTTATCATAAGACCGAGGCCCTCCGCCTGTGCCGAAGCAGCGGAATAACGTAGCTTTGCCGTGTCTTTATCGTACACATAGTGTGGTCGACCCTGGGCATAGTACTCGTAGATGGTATCCCGTATCTCTCGCGGGAGCCGGAACAGCGGTGATTGTTTTTGCCCGAGAATGTACTTCGTCTTCGGTGTCGTCATAAAGGGGAACATATTCCAGTGCGCAAAGTTGTTGGGGCCTCTCTTATTGAAAGCCATCTTGGGTGTATCAGGTGCCATGCAGATGCTGATTGCGACTGCCGGGCATCTTATACTGCGCCGTCATACCTCCTCTGGCTTTTGCCGATGACTCCCAAGACGGATGCACCATGGTACCAAACTATGGCTTGCTGGTCGTAAGCGGATTCATCGGGTTGAAGTGTGTGCCCATTGGCTGATCGCCTGGGCACCATTCAGCTTCAGTGCAATGACTTATCGGTGGCTGTGGAGTTGACGTCTGAGTGTGAGCGACATGCCCATCAACAGCAAAGCTGTATTTGTTGGGTGATAATGATTGTGCGCGACGCGAACGAACAGATGGATGGTCGGTCTGGTGCGGACCGGTTGGCGCGAGCCTGGTGCCCAGCCTCTCAGGAGCACGGAGCTCCTCCGCCCAGGCAAACATCGCGGCTCACACTCCCACAACCTCCTCAGACCATGACCTCACTCGCTCGTTGAGTCTGATCTCGCAAACGTCCTTAGGTACTCACGTTGCAAGCGCTCTTGCAGACCGCGCGCAATCTCAGCGATGGCTTTCGCCCGAACTCACCTTTGAACCGCGGCGAAGACGAGAACGCTGTCCACACATGATGAGCTCCTCACGCCATACACGTCCCTCGCCCTTCAGCATTACAGCCTACGCACAGCCGGTCGAAGACGCGCAATCCGATTACGGCCTACCCAGGCATTCATAGCACACCATCAACCCGGGCTCACGGCACGACGCGCCCTTTCCGGAGAGGGAAGCAGACCTATACATTATGACAATGGGGCAAATCGGCTTATAGTATATCTGTCCTGCTGATGGTTCATATCAAAGGCTTCTTGCTCCTTGTTAAGGAGTGCACGATCTGAAGGCATTGCACATCATCATCTTCACATCGATGTTATTGATACATAACAGCCAGCCATAAGCTCATTCAGGATGAGTCTTTGTCGATGAAGACACCGTATCACTAAGTATGATGGCCTCATCAGTCCACCGATCTGTTACCAGAAACAACCTCTGTTCTCCAACCGATTCCGTCGATATCGCGGAACTCAGGGCCTACCCACAGTTCTCCTAACTGTTGTTACTACTCTCTTGAAGCCCGCCGGTTCGATGCTGTATCTTGGGTGTAAACGTCTCCAGAAATCCGTATTCCAATCTAGGTACCCCACCTTCGCGTTCCACTCATCGTCCCAGTCCCTGAACGTGTAGTGCATGCGGCTGTTCAGGTCTAAATCAGTGGCCTCGATCTCAACTGAGCTCATACGCGAAGTCAGCTGCATGATTGCGTTCCCTCCTTCTGCGATACTCCGAACGTTGGCGGCAAAGGTCGATGGGACGTCCCACAGCCTTCCATGTCCTCCGGGCTCTCTCCCCTCGTTGGTTCTGAGGATAAGACTGTGTGCGCGAAGCCATCTGGTAAAAACGTCTTGTAAGGCTGCTGTGCGCATGACAATCGTGTTCCACACCCAGTCGCCTTCTGTCACACTATTGTCGAAGACCAGTGAGAAGCTCTCTTTCGGCATACCAAGTGTCTGGAGTGAAAACGCTACTTGGATCAAGTTGATCATGGCTTCCAGACATTCTGGGCCCCAGACAGTATCACGATCGTAGTAAAAGCTTCGCCGGTTGTCTTGCCCACCCGAAGACAACGGAAGCATTGATTCGAAAAGACTGACGTGTTGAGTAATCCGAAGGTTTGCGTTCTCGCGGCAGAATGGAATAAGACCTCGAGCGTGGAGTTCTGGGTTGGAAACGCTTTTGAAGTCTTCTCTTATGACGATGTTGCGCAATACCATGCGCACCTTGGGGTTCATCGTTTCCACTGTGCGGTGTCAGAGACATTCGGCTGCATTCGATATAGAACTTACAGTATTGGATAGCTACTGATGTAGCGGAGAAGTACCATTTGGTATTGCGGGCGGAATAGAATGTTTCCATGCCTCGCACAGCTTTCATCGACAATAGCGCTTCGATCGAGGTAAGTTCCCCGTGGCTCGGTATACGCCACGGCTCAGGCTTCCATTCAAAGAGCGTACACAAAGATCCCTCAGAGAAGAGATTACCACGTCTAGGCTCATATGAGACACGAAGACGCTCGGGATACTCGTCTCCAAAGGTCTTCACAGCAAGTCTTGCGAATGTAAGAGGATTTCGAGCCTTTGCGAGTTCAAGTGCAAGTTGAAGAGCTCTATCAAAGTCTCCGCTGCTGAACAAAGAGTCGATACAGTCGTTCGTACTGTCCATGCTCAATCCATCTGTGCACCCTCTGATAGCCCTGCGCAAGGGGCCATCAAACCAAAACGCAAAGTCTGGGTATTCTTGAGCGAGTCTCGCGTAGTCATCCGTCGTCAGTAATGAAGCGGTACAGACAAGCATACGGATTCTTTGGATCTGGCGACACCTGAGAACTGTGATTGCAAAGTCAGTCTCAAATCCTACAATCGATAGGGAAATCGTGACGCCTGGGATATACGTACGGCTTTTGAAGCGTCCAGCCCGCGAGTTGAGATCCAGACACCCATCTCCATCGTTCACGGAGCACATAGCATGAAAGATGACCTCATTGCGCTCGAGAGCCAACCCTTTCATCTCAGCGGCCGCGATCTTGCAAGTCTTTATCAAGTTGGTGTTGATAACTTGTGGTTTTGGCGACACGGACGAAGGGTTGCCGTCCATCATTTGCCGGGTTTCCGGGTTGTAGAAGTAGCCATTCTCGGCGACGACGTAGTAATCGTAAATCTTGTCTCGAATTTCGCGTGATAATTGGAAGAATGGCGATTGCAGTTGATTCGATCTTACGTTCATGAATGGCCATTTGTTCCAGTGTGCGAAGCGTGTAGTCGGCGTCTTGTCCGACATGCCCATGAAATGAAAGTAAGTGCGGATGCTGCTATCTATATACTTACAGCTGTGAGATAATGACTCTCGGGTTGACTATTCTCATATTTTGACTCACACAGTCTTGATTAGGATGAGTCGCAAACACGCTGTTGATTTGATCGGAGTCAGGGTACCACGTGGCTCCTTGAGTGATGTATGGTTCGTCTTAGATGACTAGAGAGTCTACCGATTTGGACGGTACGCTATGACTCGATCTCTCTGGGAATATTGCGCAACGACAACACATCAAGCGCCTGTCGGATGACCAATGTCCCAGTATGGCCGCCGCCGCCCGAACTCGCCCTTGAACGTCGACGAAGACGAAACGCAGTCCACACATTTGTGCTTGGGGAGTCAACCATACCCTGCGCCCTTCAGCATCGCGGGTCAAGACCAGTCGGTCGCAACGGTGCGTTGCGTGGACGGGGCACGCAGTCATCTATCGCACGCCATCAGCCTGGCGCCAACCGGCCATGCCTCGCGACAAGGAGGTGCAGAGCTCTAGGCTTTGCGCGCTCGTTGATTGAACGCTCGGAAGAAGATTGCATTGGGGGCAAAGAATTCTAAGCACCCTACCGAACAAATTGCATTCGCGTGCGGCACTGCGTTACAAAGGAAATCCAACACTGATAGTTTAGAGTGCGGACATGTAATTTTGAGTTCACTCCTTTCTGAGCTACGTAAGGCACCTCAGAAACTAATGATGTGGAGCCTGACTGCAGCGTATGCAAGTTTACTCAGTTTTGAGGCTCATGGCAGTACTTCCTGGATATTGACGGCCACCCTTGTGTTGAGATCACTCGTGACATATGTCCTTCCCATTCATCTGCCCAATCATCTCCTGTCCAGGCTTCCCGCTCCATGTAGAATTCTTCCGAATCCCAGAGCTCGCCAACATCCCCGTCATATCGGACAGGAGACTTACCTTCGACAATGTCTCGAATCATTTGTGCAAACCCTGCAGGAAGGCTCCATGATCCGGTGAAAGGAGAGTCGTAATCTAGTGGTGCCGGTCTTGCTCTCGGCTGTTTCCCGTTTGCTCGACACTGCCTGAGTAGAGCCTCTTGGGTAGCTGCTGCGTGTTTTAGTAACTTCCAGGCCTCCATTGATTCTTCGCAATGTCCGTCGATGACTAGCTCCAAGGAATGTGCTGGCATCCCTTGTGAAGCTAACGAAGTGGCTTCTTCAATCCAAGAGACCAGCACAGTAAGGCAATGGCTGGCCAGAATGATATCGCGTTGATGAGCTGCTGGTTGAGAGAAGGAAGCTGGCAGTAAGTTGTTCATAAGGCCGATTCGTCTGACGATGCGAAGCTTCGGACATTCGAGACAGAAGGGGATAAAACCGCGACCATGAGACTCTGGGCGGGATACAGCTTTGAAATCTTCTCTAAGGACCACGGTGCGCATATTCTCTCTCTGTTGTTTCGACGAACGTTGTACTGCCTATGTTAGCAGCTTGTGCTTGTATAAAGGTTCAGACCGGCTTACAGAAGTCGATTGCTACAGCCGCAGCCGAGAAATACCACCGCTGACGCGTGGCCCATGAGTGAGCTGCTATATCCCGAAAGCAGCGATCTCCATCCTTGGTTATGTGCAGGTCAACATCCGAGTCTCTGGGTTGACAGATCAGAGCCTCAATGTTAGATAGCTCGCCGTGCTCCGGGATGCACCATGGTCTGGGCTGCCAATGGACTATTTCGGGGAGAGCACTCTCCACGAAAAGATTGTGGCGTTTCAGAAACATTGCGGTGTGACGAACGGGGCAAGCACCTGCGCCGAACGTGGCACAGGCCAAGTCCACGAATTCTGAGGGGGATTGAGTTTTTGCAAGAACCAACGCACGGTGAAGAGCGTCGCTAAAGTTCTGATCAAGGATGTCTTCGCCGCCCAATTCGTCTGTTTGATTCGCGATTGCTTTCTGCAAAGGTTCGTTGAACCACGTCTTGACAGTTGGATAGCGAGTGCATAACTCCAGAAAGTCTTCATGTTTCAAAAGTGGCGCGACACGCACGAGCATGCGACATCTCTGGCGCTCGACGTAAGTCAATACTAAGGCAATGTAAGCGCTCAAAATGGGAAATAAGTTGATATGGTACCTACAGCACTCGAAGCGGCCCGCCCGCGAATAGAGTCCTTGGCATCCGGTTTCGTCTTCCATTGACTGCGCTCCATGGAAGTTGAGCTGAGGAAAAGCAACGCTCCTCATCTCCTCACTGGCGATGCGACACGCTATTCGGAGACCGAGTCGTACCGCCAGTGGTTTGGGCGTTGTGGAAGGACTCTGATAAAGGAACTTCTTGACCGAACTATCGTAGTGATATCCATCTTCCTCAGACAGGTAGTACTCATAGATTTGATCCCGGAGTTCGCGAGGCAGGCGATAAAGTGGTGATTGGAGTTGTGTGCAATAGTGCTTCGGCACAACACTGGAGGTCGGCATCGGTGTCGGTGTTGTAGAAGCCATGGAGGCTGTACCTAGAATGAGATACTGCTGTTATAAGTACCCGCTTACGTTTTCTGCGCCGACATCTAGGTAACGCTATGTCCTCATTTCGTATACTAGAAAGACTCATCGGTTCAAGTATGGGAACGAACCAAAGGACGTGCCAACATTGCGCGAGGGGTCAGGGCGCTAATAGACCCCGAACCATGTTCTTCAGGGACTGACTCATCAACGTCATCCTCGCTCAGCAGGCAACACGAAAGTAGCCGTTGGTACAATCATATGAGCCCCCCGAATAGCTTGCAAGGTGAAGTTGCTGGTTGGAGGTGAGTCAACGAGTCTAGCACAGCTTTGGTGTACGGCTGGAGCTGCGTGTGAAGGCAATCACGACCCACACGCGAACAGTCACGTCGCAATAGTTGTGTTTCGGTCAAACGCGACGCGATGATACGTGCTAGAAGGCAAGGACGGGAAATGGCCTGGGTGTTGCGGATGATACGCGTGCGGGCAGGCTGAGCTTTGCAGGATCCGGCTAGGCCGAAAAAGCTCGAAGCTACGTCATGGTTGAATATGGAAAGGTAGCTGCAGTGCCTCCACGCTTCACAGGCCTCATTTCCATCTATGTGCATCTCGCTTGGAAACAAATCCTTTCGTCCTTGTGAGACATTATCTGACTTCGTTGCGCTTTGGATAAGCAGAAAAGACACCCAGCGAGCTTCAACACTGCCCAGGTGCTCTCGCGCTCTGAGCATAGCAAGCCAAGGTTTGGCCTATTGATACCAAAACCCAAAGGCATCCCCATTTCCAAACTCCTGGTTGACAAACCCGTCCGCCAAATCGCCAATTTCAAACCCCGCAATTCCTTCGTCTGGAAAAGCGGAATCGTGCCGTTCCGCAGAAGCAAAGTCGTGTTCATGTTCATGCGCGCCAGCAAGAATCGTATCGCTGTAATTGAAGTTGACATCACCAACGCCCGCCATGAAGTCATCGAAGACAAGTTCTGGCAACAGAGGTGCATCCAAATCAGGCGCGTGAATACATGCCAGTGCAGTATCGAAAGCATCGGCTGACTGGCTTTGCGACTCAAAGTGGTGCTGCTCACGCGATGATCGGAAAGTAAGCGTCCGTGCCAACTTCGAGAGCACATTCGGTCGTCCTTCACTTGAAGTCGGCCTCTTCTTACTCGCGTCAATTTCAGCATTTGGCTGCGCATTCCCTTTCCAGTGCGCCATCGTCAGGCCATCCTTGAAATGGTTCGCGACGTGCGTTTCGCGATCATCCCACGTCTTCAGCACCTTTGCGCAGAAACCGCAAACCCAGTTCTCCACAGCATGACTACCTGGGCCCTCCCGTCTCCAAAGATCGCGGGTAGTCTCATCTAACTTCGCTTTGTGAAAGTTTCTGACGTGCTGACGCAGGTGATCGGGTCGCAGAAACGTTCTTTCGCTTTCGTCCTTGGCCATGCACTCAGCTATGCGGTGGCATTCGGTGAAGTGCTTGTCGCTGGGGTTCGCTGTCATGCAGAACACACAAGACGTAGACGCATCCGATTGAGAAGAGGTTATGATGCTAGGGCCAGTGAGCAAACATGTCCACTTTCTTTTCGGTCGGTGTTGGGTTTCCTCATGGCGGCGCCAAGATTTGCGCGCGATATGTTGATAGCAAAAGGTGCACTGCCACGTCTGCGATTCGCTATCGACATCATCGGTAGATGGAAGTTGTGATTTGGATGGAAACGATTGCGCTTTGTGGACTGAAGTAGGTACGTTGACAGATTGCCCATAATCCTTCTTCTTGCCTCGTCTAGATGAGGTTGTATTCGTGTGGCTAGGGTCCTTACCTGCGCAATGAGACGCGACAGAATACCGACGATCAGATGGTGTCTCGAAGCGTGATGAGGTGTCTCGATGCGACAGCGCTGTGGATATTACGCTAGAAAGTCGAGTATTCCGAGCTCCTTCATCTTCCGAGGCCGGGTTAGACGATTTCGCATCAACGACCCTTCTTCGCGCTCGCGCATTAGTAAACCAGGTGTTAACCTGCTTCTCAGTGATACCACATTTTTCGGCTAGTGAACGCTTGGTCCCGGTGTCTGGATACGGATTGTTTCGGTGTTCTGTCAGCCATCCTTGCAGACATCGCGTCGCATGCGACTCAAGCTTAGTGGGTGGCCTTCGGGCACAAGAACGTTTGACCTTTGATGGCTGGTCTGACGGAGTTGGAGACAGCAAGCCCGTGTTTAGGGTGCATGAAGCACAGCTGACGGGCTGGTCTGCGTGAATGAGTGCCGAGATCTCACATGCAGAGCATCGCGTGGCACTCTCAGATCGGGGGATTTCCTTTGATGGTGTTGCTTTTATAGGATGTTGTCGAGGTGCCGCATTCGTCGTCTTTGGTAATTCAGCAGTACCTAAGACAGCTTTAAGCGTCTCGAATCCTTCGCTCGTGCAGTCGTCGCATCTAATGTTTTTGTCGGGGTTGATGATATTCCAGAGCTGACACCGGAGGCAATCGATACCATCACTATGCGTCTGCAGTAA